TTTTTTTTTTTGTCTAATTCTATCAGTTGCTGAAACAAGGGTGTTAAAATATCCAACCATAGCTGTGGAATCATCTATGTCTCCCTTTAATTTTGTCAGATTTTACTTCACGTATTTCAAAGCCCTTTTATGTGCATACACATTTGATTCTGTTTTCTTGATGAACTGACCCTTTTGTCATTACTAAACGTCCCAGTCAGCTGTAATGTAAGAGTCCCAGGGAGAGAAGCTTCCAGTTCTGACAGCAAAATCCCTGTGGTGAGGAGGGTGGGATCCCAGCTCTTTTTCCCATCTGGAAAGAGGCAAGAAAGGGGCAGCTTATATATTTTGTGGGTGGGTAGCTTATACATTTTGGGGGGCCTTCTAAGAAAAACAATCCAAAATACAGATGTAAAATTAGAAGGGGCCTATGCAGGCGGGGAGCGCTGGAGCTTCCTGTGGATCTGACACAGTGGGGCAGAGAGCAGGGTCCCAGTCCAGAAAAATGCAAAGGTACGAATGAGCGCGTAGTGAGTGCAGAGAAGCAACAAAGCTGCTCAAAGCAGTGCTATCACCTCTTCACCCCCATACCCCGCTTTCTCCAGGAGGCACTTGTGATGGGGTGAAGGGGAGAAGAGGAAGAGCCGGACTTTAGAAGCGAGCCCAGAGAAGACAGCAGCAGAGAGCACACAGAGTGACAGAGGACGAGAGCCAGTGCCCGGTGTCGCCTGCTATGAACAAACCACCCAGAGCCTAGTGGCTTACAACCACAGCAATCTATTTAGCTCATGATCTGTGATTTGGACAGAGGTTGGTGGGGAAGGGTTGCCCCTGTGGCTGGATGGGAAGGTCTGCCTCTAGGATGGCTTACTCACGTGGCTGCCGAGTGGCTGTTGGCTGACAGCTCAGCCAGGGCCTCAGGCCTCAGTACCTGGCCATGTGAGCCCCTCTAGGGTCCCTGGGCTCCCTCCCACTATGGCGGCTGCCTTCCTAAGGCGGGCATTCTGAGAGAGTCAGGTGGAAGCTCTACGGCCTTTCATGATGCAGCCTCAGAAGTCCCAGAGTGTCACTTCCTCCGTGCTCTGTTGAGGCAGTCACAAAGGCCCAGCAGGTTCATGGGGAGGGGACACAGGTTCTACCTCTGAATGCAGGCATGGCAAGGTTCTGGATGAGCATGCAAGATAAGAAAATATCGTTGTGGCTATTTATAAAAAATCTGTCCCAGTCAGTGTTCACTGCTTGGATTTGGCTATTACACCTGCTACATAATCTTACCTGTTTGCTGAATGCAGGCATGGCAAGGTTCTGGATGAGCATGCAAGATAAGAAAATATCGTTGTGGCTATTTATAAAAAATCTGTCCCAGTCAGTGTTCACTGCTTGGATTTGGCTATTACACCTGCTACATAATCTTACCTGTTTTCCAGTTTCCTTCTGTCTTCTGAAAAAGGTTAATGACTGGAATGATGTCAGATTAACCAGAGGTGACGAGGACAGAACAGCCTGGCTCAGACTGAGGGTGGGAGCTCACTGGGGTTATGGACATGCTAGGGTGGTCTGTACCAAATCCTCAGTGCTGCCTATCTGCACACATGCCCTTTGACTCTCAACTGTGACGAGTGTCCCGAAAAAGCACTTTGAAGTGGGAAGGAGCAAACCACTAAAAACAGAACTTTTATCCACAGCCTTTACCAGTTGCAGACGGGAGTGAAATTTTTTAAAGATAGCTGCTGGGAGGAACATTTTGAAAATAAAACTTTTAGGAACAGAGATCAAAGTTTCCTTCCTCTGCTCAGATGTTAGCCTCAGGTTCTGTAATCTGGGACAGTCACCATGGGAAAGGGCTGGGGCAGAGGAAGAGGTAATGAACGTTATCTCCTCCAGTAAAGTCACAGTTCACAAATCTTTGTAAACTCTTCAAGCCTGAGACAGGACACAGCTGAGCACCATAACGGAGTAGAACTGACATTTAGAGAGAATGGTTTCCAAGAAACAAAGGGCCATGGTTTAAAATTAAAAAAAAAAAAAATGTACAAAGTCGACTCAATTGCTTTCTCTTCTCCTTATCTGTCAAATGTCCCTGTGATTTGCAAGGATAGGTCTTCCAGCCTGATGATGGCCTCTCTTCCGAGAGCCTCGCATGTCTCTGTTGGTTATTGGAGGAGCTTGAATGGAGCTAAAAATACTTTAGGGTCATGACATACATTATCTGCATTGCCGTTAGCATGTGAGAAGGGCTAGGAAGCCTGACGCGTGCCTCCAACAGGGGCTTTAACACACTCACACATCAAATTCACATCAAAGGCGCGGGGAAAAGCAGTGTCCCCAGCTAAGTCCCTCTTCGGGCAGCCCTGGCTTCCCTCTCTTCCCCCAGAACCCAAACTTATCATCAGATGAGCGAGGGGAGACTCATTCCAATTCCTGCCCATGGTGTAAACCCTGATGGGACAGGAAAGTGAGTTTAGCCTCCCCCTCCCCCCCATTTCCAGAGCATGGGTCAGGAAGGAGGGATGCTGTCCTGTCACATCTGATTCAAACCTTTCTGTGATGAAAGAAATCTCCAAAGGGCTTACAAAAAATAAACATGGAGTGGCTTAGTCAAGCAGCTAATGGTAAAGGAGTCCAAATTTAGATCCCACAAGTTCAAAGGGGATGCTAGAACATTCCGGGAACACACCACACGTCAAAGGTCCACATAGTGCCAAGAGGAGCTGCTCTCCAGACCCGACAGGCTGGAATGGCCAGGCCTCTGAGGACAGGATGGCTGCTCTGCTCAAATCCACTTGGGAAGGACAGGCAAATCTTCTCTCGTAAATAACCCCCACATCTTAACAAGTCCCTTCTAAGTAGCAGGGAATTTTTTACATCTATCATCCTCAATTCTCAAAACAACCGTGCAAGGCAGATGCTGTCGCCCCCAGTTTATGGTTGTGGAAGCTGGAACAGGCAGATTTGGTGACTTGCCCAGCCTAAGAAGTGGCGGAGCTGAATTCTGACTTAGTTTGCTCTAATTCCAGCCCGCTATGTTCTACGGGCTTTCTTAGGAAAGCAAACTGGATATGTCTGAATAGGAAGGAGAATAAGAAAGAAGGCACCAGGGTCTGGGAGTCCTGCACCCTGGGTCCCTGAGCAAACCCCCACCCCAGCTCTTAGCCCTCGGCCTCTAAGATCACCAGGAAGCCTTTTGGCAGCGGCAGCACTTTCAGGCTCTCCGAGGAACAGCCTGGGTGGTTGGCCGGCTCTCTTAGGTGAAGATGCCAACTAAAACAAAACCCAGAGTTGCTGGGGCTTCATCGATGTGTTTGTATAAAGAGGGTGAGTCCCCAACAGGAACATTTTTATCCTTGTGAAGACGGGGAGAATCAGGGCTTCATCAGGAGGCTCGTGAACCTGACCCGGAGCCTGCCTACGTGTGCTGTCAGTGAACAAAAGGCCTGCCTCCCACCAGCTGGGCTCAGCAGCTACAGCCAGGGAGCCCGGCCGCCGTCCAGGAGGGGCCCCGGGGAGCAGCTGCCCTAGCTCCGAGGGCTGTCTGGCACTCTCCCCGCAGCCTGCTCCCAGAGCTGGGGGTTGGAGAGGCTGAGCTGAAGTCTTTAGTCAAGCTGTATTAGTCTTGATCCCTGTGGGGGCCACTATCCACATAGAGGAACCCAGTTTCAAGGAAACCCAAGGAAATAGCAAATTTATGGCCCTTAGAACAACAGGCTGTCAAAGATAAACACTGCAGAGTAATCTAGGAAATACCTCCTGCTTTACTGTAAAGAGCCATGGCTTTTGAAAGCTGTTAAAATAAATGCAAATAACTGGTGAGAATGACTAATAAAGTCTTTCCTTTTCCAAAATCATACAACCTCACCTTGATTAATGAGAACCCAAAATAACAGGTTTATTTTTGAACTTGGCTTCTTGGGTAAAGAGGCAAATGAAAACAAGCTTATGTCAGGGGATTATTTTAAAAAGCAATTTCCAAGAAATGTCCTGGGGTCACTACACATTCAGTCCTATCCTCCCCCCTCCAGTATTCCCAGTGATGATCTGCTGTGATCCAAAATATTCATCAGAGTCGATTGAATGTAACTCCTTCCTGGGGCTGCAAAAGGACTCGCTCCCACTGAGAGTCCACCCCAGCAAGGCCCGGCTAGTCCGGTGTCCTCTCTGAAATAACCCCATGCTCTCTCCAAATTATCCAGAAGCTAAATCAACCAGGTTCCACAAGAGGGCCACCCCAAATGTCTCCTACCCGGGCATTTTAATGCACGCGCGTTTGTTGTGTTGAAACCTGGGCTCCACTCTCCTCTCACGGTCCAGGCGCTCTAGCTTCTCGACCCTTACCGGCCTTCCTGCGCTTTGGGCCCTTTCTATACTTGTCTCTCTTGGGGTGGGTGTTCTTCCCTCCACTGTGTGTCTGGCTTTCT